AAAAGTGAATAAAAGTACTGTAGAGCGGTGTGAATAAGTTCATGGTATAAATAGCTTAAAGATAATCTAAATATTTTTAAAAAGTAAATTAAATAAGTTTTAAGTTTCTATGAATAATGTTTTTTTTAAATAACAATGAAATGACTAGAACTTATATTTTTTGTTTAAATATCCAATGTTGTTTTAATTCCAATTTGAAATGTAAAAAAATGTTTGCTTATGTTTTTAAAATAAATGTTCTTAAGAACTACTGGTTTTTGACTAGCATAGACATTATTTCAATGATAACTGATTCTAACTAATTTAGTTTTGGCTATTTACTTTAAAGTTTTTTTGCAAAAATACCATTTGTATTTTAGATTCTGAGAGTAGGAAATAATCTACGGGCTTTGGCCGATGTTGACTATATTGTAAGTAATGCTATGTGCTTTACACGTATTTATATGCGGTCTGTCTAATATACTTTCAGTTTGTCAAATTGCATTATTAGCGAGTAGGTAAAAACAATTTGTTGTCCACTATTAAGCAAATTTGAATTATTTTTCTTTTAGATCAACTATCAATTGAAATACACATTCCAAAGATAGATTTCTGTAATAAACTGAATCAAGTTTCCCCTAAATAATATTAACACATTTTTTGAAACAATATTAATTTTAAGGATATCATGTTTATTTAATTAAGAATTCGCAATTATTTTCTTATTATGTCTTTCTAGTTATTGAAAATAGTATTTATAATAGTTAAAATATATAAAATCATGTACAACAGTTTAAAGATTTCTATTTAAAACATCTTTTTCATTGCCAACTGCCCTGGCATGGTCGAGTTTATTATAAATTAGTTTGAGATGACGCCACGCCTATTCCTATTTTATTTCTTTTCTATCTTAATAAATAGTACCTACTATAGGATGACTAAAATGCAATATTGTATGTTTTTCCTTTTTTAATGCTTAGCACGATACTTTTAAAACTACAAATGTGTTATGAGTACACAACCTAGCCTGAAGGTTGTTTTTTTTTTTGGGGGGGGGGGGCATTTTTTTATTTTTTCATTTTTTTCTAATATTTTGAATTTAAGATAATTGTTGACCTATTTTTCAGATAATGACAAAACAATCTATCTATATTTAACTATTTATGTGTAAACTAGAAAACTCGATCTGCTGATAGTAAAAACTCTACTACTAATTAGTTAATGTCAAGATTACCTACTTACCTCCTAGTTAATGATCAAACAAGGACGAAGTTCACTCGAGTTCACAGAAGAAAAAACAATTTTATTTAAATGTAGGTAGTGTAGGACATAGGTACTTGTTTTCATTGTAGAATATTTCAAAGTTAATTATGTACTTACTTAAAATGCTTAGTCCTGAGCAGAGGTGTACTCATTATCTCATTATAAGAGTAAATAAATAAAAATAAAAATATTATATACGTATATATATATATACCTGAATATATAATTTATAAATGTATAATTATTTATTGCAAGCTAAAATATCTTATGAACTCACAATTAATTAATAAAAATCAAATCAGTTATAATGCATAATTAATGTAAACAAATAATGAATCTGATCAACACAAAGACTAAAATAGTTATTTTTGTTTTTAATAAATATCTTATTTTGTCATAATTCTAACTAAACTAACGCCTGAAAAAAGATTCATTAACGCTGTAGTAATGTCATTACATTTTATTTAAATTAACGCAATTTTAACAAAATTACTTTACTTACTAAAGTAAGTGACTTCCCAATTTTAATGTAATATAACTTTAACGTCATGTGAGTACATAACTTATTTTTATAATCATCCTAATTACCAACTAGTTTCACTTCCCTACCAGAAAACATGCTGAAATAGGAATCAAAACATTTTTTCTGTCTCATAAAGTAATGACAGTCACAAAATAATTGTTAAAAAAAACGCTCATCATTATAAAATCAATTCATTCACATCTGCTCTCAGAATATAAAATATTGAAACAAATTTAATAAAAATGTTGACTGTTTAAAATAAAATATAAATTAACTCATGCGTAATCAATTATAATACTGTATTAGTGCCTCCGAGGCTCCGAAATTACATCCAAAATTGTGATATGAGTATACGGCAACAAACAACACAAATAATTTCTAATCTAAGTACATCGGCCCAGAATTTTACATACAAGGATCAATGAGAACTTTCTCGGTATCTATCATTGGGCCAATCTGCAGCTGACTATGGCCATTATAGCCGTTTGTAGGTTTATTACTGTGAGGAAGGGAATTAAACGTGACTGAATACAACCATTGTACCACACCAGGTAACCATTTACTTTTTGATGTCACTTATTACTACTTTTGAGTTATATTTATATAGTATTGAAAAAATTGTAAATAGGTACCTACAGCATACCTTAGGTACGTAGTGAGTAAAACAGATAAAAAATTAAATAATAAATCAAGGCATGTCTTATGAGATATAACAAATAAAATTAGATAGCTGTTCAAGTATACTTTATATTCATAATTCAATAATTTATGTAGTATAATAATAGCAATACAAATATTGCCATATAGGTACTTATGGGTAAGTTTATATATACGTAACCGTGTAGGTAATTAACACAATCAGAAAAAAATCTCATAACGACATTGAACATAGTTTTTACTTAATTTAATTATGAAAAATAACCAATTTATCGACAGATACTACACTAATTATCTAAAACAATCTGGTTTTTATTTAGTTGCAAATAAAAAATGTTGATTTAAAAATAAATATTGGACCTTAAATTTAATATAGGCTTATCTGTTAATTAATTCATAATTAAATTTAAAAATATATTTTCAGTCGATTTTTTTTTCAATTTTTAAGAATGCAAAATGAATGACATATTTGATAGAAAAATTATTTGTTTTATTATTAACAGTTTTTACCTTCATATTAATAAATAGTATAATAATGGTTAAGGAGTAGCTAATAAAACAATCGACATTACTTTACACAATACATGCAATTTGACAGTATTACACGGAAATCGAAATAAATTCGTACAATAAAATAATACCCAACTATAATTGAAAACTGTTATCAAGATTATATACAATGGAGAAATTTATTCACTATTTACGACCCTAAATAAATATTGTGACTTATAAATATTAAATAGGTGTACCGTATCGCCCGTTTCGGTACCCGACGAGTTATTTTAATATGTTTTTGAAGTTTTTCTGCTCATATATCAAATCTATAACATAGCAAAAAATGTTTTGCAATGTTTTTCAGTCTATAGCCCTAGTAGAGACACCAAAAGTATACGCAATACATCGTAGAAGATAATATTTTCTGTGTCGTAGCGTTTTTATTTGTTTTATATTAAAAAAATTAGGTAATAATACAGTAGAACTCCGAATATCCGGACTAATTAATGTCAAGGGTGGTCCGGATAAGTAAATACCCGGATGATTGACCATTGACGTATGATATATCAAAAGTATATGATGTGTATTGTATGTATATATTTTTTATTCATATATTGTAATTAATATAATTTAAAATTCCTAACCATAAACAAATAATTTTATAATATATTTAACTGAAACAAAATAAGCCTTAATTTTTTATGTTCGATTCTTCTTGCCTCTCAAACCATTTAAACGCCAAATCCAATGCATCAGAAGCTTCAGAACTTTTAATGTACCTCCGTCGGAATGACGGATATTATTAAGAATAATATATTATACCTATTATTTATTTAATCATAAAACTAGTCTTATCGACAAAATAAAAACTCTATGGACTATGACACAGTTAAAGTTATCTTGTATTCATGGTGAACATTTGATTTCTTAGTTATAACTTATAACTTTAGCCTTTTCGGTTCTTTCCCGCTTGAAACAGTTTTTGCTATGTTTTACATTTGTAAAACGGAGACAACACAATGCGGGTGCAGCATCCTCTTAGGTGTTATCAGTGTTTAAAGATATACAAACAATTTACAATTTTATAAAACTCATAACTCGCTTTAAAATTAGAGCTTATGAGATTCCCTCTATAATAATCTTATCTTTAAATTTTATAAGTCGGTATTTTCACTAGAATCTTATAAATTATTATGTATATAATCATTATTGTGAACGTAAAATTTGGTATGTTGCTCGTAGGTCAGAGAGAAAAAAAAACGCCCCGACATACTCTTAAAATAATTCCACGACGTTTCTGTAATTGCCATTTGTTACAAAACCACATTGCAGTGAATATTTTATTCAATTATATTTCTTGTCTTGTTTTCAATAATTCAATAGTTAGTTACTTCTCTGAACGTCGGAATATTACATTTGTATTATATTTCTAATAAATTATTTCATTTAACCTATACTAAATGTGTTTTTCTACTTACATTTTTTAATAAAATGTACAGACAAAATTGCAAGACTCTTGCAGCTTGAGTCTTGCTTGAGTCTTGGTCTTGTAGCAAGACCATGGTCAAAACAATTTTTCTATCAGTCATCACTAATTGTGAAACTATAATTCACATAGTTTGTAAGCATCAAGTAAATGTTTTAGAAATTACTAAGTCACAAAGGTTAGGTTTGGTATTTATAATTAAGATCACAGGACTTTTATGTTATTTTAACGGAATTGATATTAATATACATGTATCAAACATGGAGTGATACCTTTTATTGGGTTATTATTTATTTTTCTCTGTATTATTCACTCATAATAACAATATTTTATTTCCATTCTATTTTAATAACATATATTAAAAATTAAAATGATTTATTACGATATATTATTAGGTACCCAGTATAATTATCTGATATGATGAGAAAAGTTCTTACCTACCTAAATAATTATTTAATATTATTACAAATAAACGGATGAAAAAATTCACGATTATTCCTACCACATGTCCACATGTATCTCAAAACTAAACGGCCGTGACTGAAACGAATTTTTTTTTATGGAAACTATCGGTTATATAGTTGGTTCAATGTAATCTTAAGGTTATTTGAAATAGTTATCTGTAGCTTATAGGTCGTGATTCGTTGATCGTAATTCGTACATCTGGATACAAAATGTACCTAAAAAATGAGTATGCCGTAGAAGTGAAAAATGCTTGTAAGATCTATCCTCCAGATTTCACAGTACTTGATGGATTTAGTATGAAAGTCCAGAGTGGCAGCATGTAAGTAGATCATATTATCATAATATATAATTTTAAAATTTTTTCTTATTGATTTCGAAAAAACATTGGTGACAAATTACATTAATACAAATTTGGTTTCATGACAGTGAAGATTAAATAATAATTATTATGTATATTACATTATTATTTGTATATGTTATATAACATCGAATACATATCATTAAAAATAGATTTGTGCTTGTCTTATAAATAGTATTTTTTAATTAAAAAAATTTAGTATTTTAAATGTTTGCAATCTAGCAACGATCGCGAGTTGAGCTTATATTTTTTTTGGCAGTTCCTTGCGATTTAAAAAAAAAAATAGCAGCACAAATGTTCTGATATTTTTATTTGTTTTTGACATAAGTGCAATTTGTTTGTATTTTTTTATGATTTGTTTATAAAGTTTTTTTGGATGCCTTATCTGGTATAGCATTGCCTTAAATTTTGGTATGGCCAGGGATCCATATTAGAGCAATTTTTTCATTTTGTTTACTATTTTATTTTGAATAGGTACCTGAGTGATGTTTTACAATTTTCTTGTTATAAATAATTAATTTTAGTAGGCATTTATAAATGTTAAGATAATATGGTTTTATATTATCATTATATTAAATTAATATCAGTATAATATTTACTAATTTTTTCAACCAATTTTCAATAAAAAAAAATAATTGTACTTATTTAAATATTTAATCTCTTTAAAAACGTACAAAAATACAATCAAATTGACGAGACCTTGTAAAATGGGAAGAGTTGTACTCAAATGTCTAACAAAACAATAAACATTTAAATTTATTGAGAATAATGTGACATAAATATGGTAAAATTTAATGTATAATGCATAGCCACATATTGCATAGCAATTTTCATGCAAAACCAGGTAGTTTTTGACACAATCAAAATAGATTCAATATTTTATTGTAATTCAAAAATGAATAACCAAACCGTACGTAACTACTTTAAAGTTTCATCAAGTTATCAATGAGTGTTTTCTATACATAATGTAATATTCAATAAATTTTCAATATTTTTGTAATTTTTATATAGACATTTAGATTTTTTTTTCCCATACATTTTGATAAGAAAATTTTCCTCTAGATAAAAAGCTTAAAAATTGAATACAAGATTCTTCGTAAGTTTTTTAACTGGTACTTCACATTTTTAAAAATCTATATTGAATATATTGGATGTATATAAAATATATAGATAAACCTAAAGAATAACGATTTCTGTAGTTTTGTTCAAATTCAACAATATTTGTAGGGAGTTTCAACATTTTTAGATGAACTTTAAACTATTGCCTATCCACACAGTAAACGGCTACTGTACTTAATTAATAGTAATATAAATCGTCTCTACTCAGAATCGTTTCTCGCACACAATGATTGAACTCAAATTTAACAGTGACCTACTCAATGACGAGGTAAACTCGACACCTATTCTGTACAGCTAAGAGATTAACTATTAGCTATTTTTGTTAATTATGTATTCATGCATAGTTGAAGATCCATATAATTTGATATTATTTAATATTGAAATATTACATATTAATATGTATCACTGAACTAATACAAATTTGACACGTAGCTATAATATTGTTGCTGGAGTATGTACTGTCAGATTAAAAAAAGATCATTTACACCTCAGTATTATAATATGTATATTATACTTAATATTGGTAGGTACAACTTATGCTTAAACCTGTTCAGGATTATAAATTATATCTAAAAAGTTACAATATTTTAACTCCTGATGCCTCATTTAGCAAAGGGCCTTTAAAATCAATTTAAAAAATGATAACATCGTAATAGTGCATGTATATAATAGGTAGGTAGGTACTAAAATACTAAAATATCAATTATTATTATACACATTTACAAGAAAAATCAATGTTACTAAATTGCGTGATTTCCTGTACATTGATGATTAATCGCACACGTCGTGTGTTGTGTGTTAGGCCAATATGTGTATGCATTTTTTCGTAAAACAGGTATAATATAATATTTAAATACTATTTAAAAGATAGTTATAATTCAAAAAAGTTGCAAACTCAATGTAATAAACACGCAGATATAATGAAATAAAATCATATTATAAAATAAAATTTCAATTCAATGAAAAAAAAATTGAGACCACATATAGACATATAGACTACATATTGATATTGTAATATTATTTGATATTTGTCATAATACAATTTAAAGTGTAAAGAAATATAATTAAGGCTATTAAAAGTAAACCATTTTTAAGGGGTCTGATTTAGGAAACATTCTGTATTGAACAGTCCCTATATTTTATGATCAAAAACGTTTCAACTCCCATGAGGCCCTTAAAGTCCTAAAAAGCGGAAGAAAAACTTACCCAGTTCCAAAAGCCCGATTTGAAAAATATTTGAATTCCTAGTTATCTTTTCTAGGTTGTGTTAAAAATGGATATTCGATTTGTTGGATTGTTTACTTAGTATACGTAGGTAGTACCAAATGAAAAAATTTAATTAGTTTGTATTTTTGAGGGGTCCAAACCAAAATTGAAAATTAATTGTAATTTTAGAAAGTGTCTGGAAATGACAATGGTATTTTTAGGCAAAATCTATTTTTGAAAAATCTATTTAATATTTTTGGTGTAACTCATAACTGTTGACATTTGACACTTAAAGTTTTCATCAAATATTTATTAGCATTTTCCTTACATGGTAACGTTTTTGAAATATTTTGAATCTTCTTCAGCTATTTATTGCCTCGATAAAATTTTCAGTCTTGTAGCTCTTTTTAAAATGACTCTCAATAAATACTTTTTCACTTAATAAAAAAGCTTGACAATTTAATGCAAGGTTGTTCATAAGTCATAAGTCTTTAACGGAAGTTGAAAAAATTTAAGATACATAGGCAGAATTTTGTCTTGTATGCATTGAAAGTTTAAATGTTGACAAAATTTATCAAATTGAAAATGTACAAATTATTTTGAAGTTAAATATCTATAAAATGTTCAACTTTTGTAGCTGAAAATCACAAATTTAAATCAAAGTTCCAAGTAGGTTATTGCGTAACCAAAAATCTAAACATATATAAGAACAGTTTTTTTTTTTATAACAAAATTACATATTAAATAACCGAGGAGGATATAAGTTATTTTGTTATAGTTAAAAAATATTATTCTTGGGAATAAATAAATAAATAAATAAAATATTATTATATAACATAATGCGTGTAAAAACAGTTTTATCATGAGTGTAAAAAATTCATCAATTAATTAATTTTCAATGATACAATATTGGTATTTGATGTTGGAACTAAAAAAAAGAATATCGTACTACCTATAATTACTCGATAATATGTATAACTATATACTTGAGTTGGTCAGCAGTGAACTAGTTTTATAAATATAAAATCTTGAAAATATCCGTTTGGAACGTAATACCTATTTAATACGTTTAAATAGTTTAGAAAAAAAACGACACAAATCCATCGTTTTCACTCAAACCAAGGCATACAATAAATAGATACCTACCGTAAACGGAGGGGCCTTTTTAATAACTAATAATTAAGTACTACTAGAATCATTCATATTTGATGAAGTAAATAATGTATGTAGATTAAGTCAGATAAAAAAACAACTGGTTCCGGCCTATAGCCTATAGTAGTATGAAATCATAGGTATCAATGGCGGAAATCACGATGGTAAGCTATTACCTAACCTGCTGTACAATTAAATCCTTAATTTACATAGTCTTATATAACATGCACATTTGGTCGATGGAATAGCATTTAAAACGCGTCAACTGACCTTTATCTGACCAAATATAATACAATGAAATGATATTAATTCGCATTCCCTCTCATTTTTCGATATTTTATAGTAGTTATAATAATATATTCGTGTACGGAAGTAAACTACAATAAGTATGCTATAATATTACGTAACTGGTCAAACCACTTGATGACGACCTGTACGGCTGTTGGCTATACGACATTATTATTGTAGTTTAATGTTCCATCCAAATAGATGAGATCGTCAGGATCAAACAAATCCAGGAACTCATAAATACGCATGTACGCAGTATTGTAAAAAGTCTTTTTTATGTAATTTAATAGGGCTATTTTATTTTGTTTTGTCCGTCTGATTCGCATGTACCTAATAGCCTAATATCCGTAAATCGTAATTCCGCGATTACGTCTCTTTAGTTCGGTGTATGCATTCGGTTGTGTAAAGCTTAATGTTAGGTGGGTACTAAAAAATTGTCTTCATTGTGTATACGTGTAACTGCTAAACGTAAATTTTGGTACCTATGTTATGCGTTATAGTAGGACGGAGTCAACACATTTATTGTGCTGGGACGACGTCCTCATAGCGTTTTTTTGCAATTCGATCATATTATAAAACTTTGGTTCATTAAAAAAAAAAAACATATTTTTAGATAACCTCTTTGCAGGAGTCTTGTTCGAATGACAATGTTGACCTTGTAACCGACAGAAAATGACAATGGAGTTTGCTTGTCATCTGCACAGTTTGATATTTAAACTTGTTTACACTGTACAAAATAAACATAGGTATCTAATTTTAATTTTCAAGTTTGAGCGTAGCGTGAATGTATTGATTTTAGAATGATGCGTTTTTTTTTTTAAATTTAAAAATTAATTTTTCAGGTGTTTATGTACTATCATTTATGTATATCACATGTAGTCGAAAAATGCTTCAATTTTCAACTTACGTATCTTTGCTGTTGGGCCAAGTGAATGTAGTTTTTTCTGTGGAAGGTTAAAATGCCAAATAGTTTTCAAAAGGGGGTTTTATCGATTCCACCTAGCTTTTTTATTTATTGATTCCGCCGGCTATGAATTTCGGCGGATATTTGTTTCTGTTGATTCCACTGACTGTATTTTTTTAAATCAATAGCATAGGTATAAGATACACTCAGTTTACCATATTTTTTTTTTAAATTTAAACATTTCAAAAAAAAATTCAAACATTCTAGTAAGTAAAATGTATTAAAATAGTAA